CCCCATCGTTGTGAAAGATATGGATGAAGCAAGTGACCAGTTAGTCAAGGTCTAGGAGGATGTTGGGGATGAACGAGTATTCACAAGGAAAAGTTTGACATGGAGCCCAGTTCATGAAGCAGCTAGAACCGAATCAAGCCCTGTCCGGCTATTAGATCTCAATCTCAAAGGAATCGGGAAAGGGGAAGGCTGACGAGAGTAAGAAATAAGCAAGAGGAAGATGCAGACTTGAAGGAGACTAGGGAGGAAGAGGAATATGAAACCTGGAAGGAGGGAGGGGAAGAGAATATGAAACCGAGAAGGGCAGAGGAGAAGACTGATGATGATGTCTTGAAATCATCATCGGAATAAGATGCAGCTATGTGGGTCGCATATATGGATCTGCTTTTGCTAGTGCTGATGAAACTCAACCTTAAATTTGAGTTTTATCATATTTGTTGTCTTGTTCTAGAACTTGCTATTTTATGGCCTTTGAGTTGTGAGTTGGGATGTGTAATAGTATATTGACATGTAATGGTTATTGAGACTTTCTATTGTTGCATAATAGATGAATTTTAGGCAATTTTCACTCAGTTATAAATCTGTCATTCAATTTCAAGTTTCAACGTTCTGTACTAAGTTTGAAATGCATAAGAAAATGACACACATGAAACTGTGAACAAATTTTTTAATAAAAGTACATGTTTTATACACTCATCAGGGGCATTTAGTAACCAACAAATCCCCAATATCATCTTCAATGGCCTGGAGCCCCTCCTTTATGTGCAGGCTGCCCATGCATCTGGGCCACCGCGTTCTTGAACAATGTTGCTAACACTAATCATCTCATAGATGTCATCAACATCAAAGATGCGAATTTCGCCAATAACACCTACTAATATGAATTTTTTCCTTCTGAATTTCTGGCAACATAATAACAACATTTCATGTCATAACTACACGGCATAAAAAGACACAGCACGTAACTGGGAGAAAGCAGACCAATCCATGCAGCACATAATAGGAGCTACTTCTTCTATTAATGGGTAAAACTAAAACATACATCAGGAAGTTCATGATCCTAGTATCATTCTTGTGCAAGCATGCTTAACTTCAGACTCCATACGATCCAATACCGGCATATGAGCATACATATCCTAGTATTATTCATGTGCAAGCACGTTTAATTTCAGGTATTTAATGGGACGCAATGCAGCGAGCAGTAACAATGCCCCCATAGAAGTTTCCCTGCTACTAGTGCCACTTGCACTTAAGAGGTTCAATGTGATCCATTACTAAGTGCTGAACATCCCAATGATAAGAGCTTCCTAAACATAACAAATGTCATTATTTTTTCTTGGAGTCATTAAGCAATCACTCCTTTTTTTATTAATCTTTCACTCAATTGGATTCATCTAGCCACATGGAATGTCGGAACTCTAATAGATAAAAGTATGAAGTTAGTGGATACAATGAGGTAAAAGAGACATAGCATAAATGCCTACAAGAAATTACGAAAAGGACAAAAACTAAGGAAATCGATGGATATAAACTTTGCTATATAGGAAAGGATAATAATAGAAATGGCATAGGAATAATAACAGATAAAGATTTGAAGGATTAAAGTAGTTGATGTCAAGAGAAGTAGGTGATAGAATCCTATTACTTAAATTTGTGTTTGGAGAGGAAATAATTAATGTAATTAGTGTGTATATGCCACATGTAGGACTAAATGATAGAATTAAGAGATCATTCTGGAGAACATGGATGGAATAGTCCAGGAAATCCCAAAAGGAGAAACAACCTTTTTAGGAAGGAACTAAAATAATCATGTAGGAATAGATAGTAAAAGATATAATTGGGTACATGGAGGATATGGTTTTAGGGGAAGAAATGAGATGGGTGATGCTATTCTGGATTTTGTTATGGCTTACAACCTAACAATAGCAAAGGCCTTCTTTAACAAGCAAGATGAACATTCAATAAGTTATAGAAGTGGATCATATACAAGCCAGAAAGATTTCTTTCATAGTTAATAAGGCAGATCGACCATCATGTAAAGACTGTAAAGTCATCCCAAGAGAGAGTTTGACCATGCAACATAGGCTCATGGTGATGGATGTTTGCATAAAGAGATGGAAGAGGAGCGCAACTAATAGGTGTCCAACAAACTAGGTGGTGAAATTTAAAAAGGGAGAAAATAGACTTATTTAATAATAAAGAGGTAAAAGAAAGAAAATGAAATTTTAAGTATGAAGTTAACGTTATGTGGAATAATGTGGCTTGATTATATTAAGAAAGTGGAAAAAGAAGAAAAAAATCAGATAACCTAGACGGAAAAGAAACTCAGATAAGGAAGCTTAGTCATGGAGTGATGAGGTTCAAAAGGCTATTAGCAAAAAATGATCATGTTATAAAGTTTGGAAATTTAACAGCAATGACCAAAAGCTTAGAAGAATATAAAAATACTAAGAAAAACACTAAAATAATAGTAAGTAAGGCTAAACTTAAGGGATATGTTGATCTATATAATAAATTGTGGACAATAGAAAGATGAAAACGATGTCTTCAAACAAGCAAAAAAAAAAGAAGTGTAAGGATCTAGATCATATTAAATGCATTACACGTGAGGATCAAAAGGTGTAGGTGAAAGATGATGAGGTCAACAAAAGGAGGAAATTTTATTTTCAAAAATTGTTAAATAATGAACACTTTGGAAGCACAATGTGAAGAGAAACCTTAACCAAAATGAGGTTGGAGGTCATAAATACATTCGCAAGATTAGGATATCTGAAGTGAAAGACGCTTTGGGAAAAATGAAGGTAGAAAAGGCTTTAGGATCAAATGGTATCCTAATAGAGATTTGGAAGTGCAAGATCAGCTGCTCAACAAGATGTTGAGAACAAAGAAAATACAAGACGAATGGAGAAGAAGTATTGTAGTACCTATTTACAAGAACAAATGAGACATACAAAACTGTATGAACAACCGAGAGATCAAACTTATAAATCAAACTATTAAGTTGTGGGAGATAGTGCTTGAGCAATGACTACGACATGAAACCAGTGTATCAGAAAATCAGTTCGGCTTTATTCTAGGGAGGTCAACAGAGGCTGCTTTCCTACATAGGTAACTGATTGAGAAGTCCAGGGCAAAGGAAGAGAACTCCACGTGCTATTTATTGGTTTAGAGAAAGCATATGATAGGGTACTTAGAGAGTTAATTTGGTGGGTGTTAAAAAAGAAAGGAGTCTCCAGAGGATATATTGACGTAGTGCGGGTCAGTTATTCACGAGGGAGTGCTAACTAGTGTGAGGACAACTAGAGGAGAAACAAGTGATTTTTCAGTGATAGTAGGTCTATATAAGGGGTCAGCATTGAGTCCATATCTCTTTGTTTTGGTTATGGACAAATCAACTAGGCACCTACAGGATGAGGTACCGTGATGCATGTTGTTCACGGATGATATAGTTTTGATTGATGAGACTAGAGACAGTGTCAATGCAAAGTTAGAACTTTGGAGGGATGCTCTAGAATCTAAAGGTTATAAAATTAGCCGGACTAAGACAAAATACATAGAATGCAAGTTTAGTAATAATAGGAGTAGAAACGAGGAAGCAATGAAGATTAATGACCAAGAAATACCAAAAAGATATTATTTTTTATATCTTAACCTAGGATAATGGATAGATTGAGGAAATGTCACACATAGAATTAGAGCTGGGTGGGCGAAGTGGAGATGTGCATCTAGAGTTTATGTGATCGTCACAAAGCAATGAAACCAACAGGGAAGTTTTATAGGACATCTGTAAGACCAGCCATGCTTCATAGAACGGAATGTAGGGCAGTTAGTAAATAACATATCCATGGAATGAATGTAGCTGAGATGAGGATATTGAGATGAATGAGTGGCAAGATAAGGGTAGAATTTGGAATGAAAACATACGAGGGAACTTAAGGGTTGCTCCAATAGGCGATATGATGAGGAAAAGTAGACTTTGGTGGTTTGGTTATAGCCCGTGTAGACCTAACATAGCACCGGTTGGGAGGGACGATTACGGTAAAGTGGAAACCTCTAAAAGGGTAAGAGGAGGCCCAAAATGACATGGATGGAAGTAGTAAGAGATATAGTGATTTCTGGTATGACTGAGGGTATGGCCTTTGATAGAGCAAAATGGCCGAACAACATTTATGTAGCCTACCCCAAATGGTTGGGTTAAAGCTCGGATGATGATGATGATGATGACTCTTTCACTTAATTGTCAACTTTCATTTAGTGTGCTCCATTTTTTATTTTCATATGCATAAGACAAAAATTCATGAGTATTCAAATTTATGAGTATTCAAAAACAATCCATCTAAGAATCATATCCCATCCGTAAGTCCCTAGGAATCATATCCTATCCGTAACTCCCTCATGAACATTAAACTCCCCAGCATACCCAACAAGAGGTCCATTTGACAAAACATAATAAGTAGAGAAACTTCACACCAACTAACATAAAAAAGCGTGTCTCTTATCCTAAAGGAACCAAAAAGGGGCCTCAAACTCCAAAGATAAGCATACTTAAATCTTGACAATTTTCAATGACACATTACATAATGATGGCAAAATACAATACACACACTACATTTATCGTGTACCAAGACATGCCCGAATCAATCATATGCACCATCCTTCATTGAGGATAGACAGCATATATAACCCTCATCGTGTAGAGTTTGCTTTCCATCATAAGAGTAAAACAAATGGCATGATACTAAGACTATCTCCCTAAGTCCGGGGGCGGCAACAAAATGTTCACGGTACAACTCTCAGATAACCTACTTCAAAAGAAAAGAACAATTTCCTAGCTTTTCCCCAAGTACCAAGCAGTAATACTTTCAATACCAAATACATTACCCATGAATGTAAGTATTTAAATGAACATTTTTTTCATTAGTTTTTTATGAGTCTTTGCATGATTAGGATTATCAGATGAATTAGAAAACTCTACTCGGACCAAATCATTCAAGACATACCTGGTCAGTCAACTCAAATGTCAAGTGTCCTCAACTCCCTCTAGTCGTAACCTGCAACGAAACAAGTGTATTATCATATTTCTAGATACATCACGACTATTTTCCAAATAGAACAAATGTATTACTGCAATGATATCAATATATATTCGAGTATTACAATTAATAAATAATCACAACAAGAGGCTCTTAGTATCACACCTAGTTCCCTTGTCCTTCATCAACAAATCTAACGAACCAGCCCCAATTCAATCAAACCTGACCATTCAAGCCACAATTATTGAAGTTAATTGAAATTTGTAGCAACAAATCTTCATGCAATTTCAATTAATACCAGGAGGGCTCCTTGTTCGCCCAGGTCTTGAAATATCCAATTTCAAATTCACAAGAACTGTGCACTAAGAAATTCTGCATCTGAGGTCTGTAATTCAAAACAATGCAACAGAAAAGAAAAAAACAAGTCAACATAGTGTCACCCATCAAGCAACAAACACATCATATTCCTCCTTTTCCCAGTGCAGAATAAATCTTTCAATTATCTCTCAAGAAAATGACCAGTTCCCTGATCGAACCAAACGACCAAAGGCTTTTGATACAAAACTCAAAAAGAATCACAATCATCATCAAACCAACAAAGAGAACCAATAAATTAATAAAGAGACACGGGATTTACAGCAACAGTTGCTTAGAAGGAACGTAAATACATTCGCCCATTTCAGGAATCAAATTAACAAAATCAACAAGAAATTCAACCTTGAGAGAGAGAAGAGACCGGCAATTGGGGATCTAGGGTTAGCAGTTCCTCATCACATAAACTAGGTAATTGAATTAAAATTTGAAAAGATAGTGAGAAGAAAATAATAGAGAGAGAATGTGTTGAGAGAGAAATTCACCTGCAAATCGCAGTTACGAATCCGACTCAGAGTGATAAAAGGGAAGTACTATGACGATCTCGACTGGCTCTTGGTCCTCGTCTGTATCTAATGTCGGTTTGATGGTGTTTCTCTGTGCATCTTTCTAGTTCCTTGTGATATACGAGATTTTCTCGCTCTATCGCTCGCTGCAATAATAAACTCTTTTTCTCATCGTTCTATCTCCAACGACAGGTGATCCTCCTACAGGACTATACTGTATAATCCCAAGGTTCAAACACTTTGTAAGGGGTGCTTTGGAGAAAAAAACTTGGACTCATCTGTATCTCACTCTGCAATTAATTGGGGGTCTATAAATGCTCCCCTCCTGTTATTCCGATTGCTAAATTTTGGGAATTTTGAGCTAGAAATTAATTTTCCTTTTTAAGAGATTTATGCCAATATCTTGTTACTTATTATTATTTTAAAATATCCCTCTATTTTTTTTTAACGATTGTATATTATGAAACCATTTACATTTTATACAAGGAGGTCACAATTCCTTACAAACATCCAATGTGAAATCTAATAGCGCGGGGGTGCCACAAAGTTCGAAAAAAGTTCTTTTGAAATTTGAGTTTCGTCAATAGAATGAATGCAACCATATAATTTCACATCCAATAGTCAAGATTAATTATGATCACCTTATACCAAAAATAAATTGTCTCATTGTGTATTTTTTTCTTTTTTTATGTGTGCTTCTTTTTTTCATCATTTTCTTTAGAAAAGTATACAAATAGACTATTTACTCTTCATACAAGGGGTCGCAATCATTGATATCCGTAAGATTTCAAACTAGGTAATTGTGAGTATGTCATTTACTAGACTAAAATTAAAAAATTATTTATCAAACTTTGTGACACACACCAAGTCATCCAATTTTACATCTAATGGCTGGAGTAATTACATGCTCTTTGTAACAAAGATAAACGATCTCATAGTATATATTATCACTTTCTTTTTTATTCTCAAATTGTCATCGCTTTAGATCTTCAACATGCATAGTGACTAAACCATTTAATAACTTCAAATCATGCCCCATTTTGCCGCAGATCAGAAGTTACCTGTGATTTCAAAATTGGAAGATTCGAAACCATGCCTCATATATATAACTTTGAATCTTTAAGATCCAAAGTTGTAAGTAACTTCAGATCTTAGCAAAATAGAAGGGGAACAAAAAAAAATTGAGTCAAAAGGGAATATATGGGGGTTGGGGGCTAACTTCGAATCTTCAAGATATGACGTCATAAAATCACTTTGTGACTTTGAATTTTGATGATCCGAAGTGGTAACAAATTGAAAAAAAATGCAGAAAAGAGATACATATGTAAAAAAACAACATTTGGGAGAATTTTTGCAATAGCAGAGAATATAGGGGTATATGCATAAATTTTTTATCTTTTTTTTACATTGATCAAGATGATTTAAAAATTATTAGCATCAAACTAAATTGTGATTTGATCTAATTTAAAATTCTACCTCTTGTAATTTGACCTCCAATTCTCAAAATTTGAAATGATTCTCAATTATAACCAATCCCCGAGTTACATTTTGATATAAATTAATCATTGTGGTAATTATCATCAAAATATTTTTCTAACTAATTGAAGTCGACTGCACGAATCTTGATCTGCTGCTCTATTAAAAATCATACCCACAATGAGACCATAAATTAATTGGATTTATTTATCAAAGTCCAAATGAGTGCTTCCTCTCTTACTCTCTTCAATATTACCATTGCTACCAGCCCACTACTACTATTGCAATGCATCACTACACACTCCACCACACCACCCTAGCAACCTGTGCTTGTGTCATCACCACGACCACCGTTGAACCACCGCCACCACTTCCCCTACCATCACACCGGTGTCACCATCACCACTTGTCCATACCCCATCCCCATCACCAACGCCGCCACCGCTGCCATTACCATAATACAGTCACTACCATCACCACCATTCCACGGTATAATAGCAAAGTACAATTCAAATTAAAACAATCTAGATCAATTACATAAGCAAATGATAATGGATCAAACGGTAGCATAAACAATTACAATTGAAAAGGAACCAGTTGACGAAATATGAGATCAAACCATGCCTTCATGTCCTAAAAGTGCACCATGTTGTTTGGGCTAGACCACATGTACAATCTAGTACAAAGGGGCCACAATATCTCCAAGGTTAGATTGACACTAAGTTACATCTCAATTCTTGTAACTTCCAGAGAGGTCCTCTAAGCAAATAATGCTCCATATGCCATCTGCTCCTTCACTTTAAAGCTGTTTACATATAATGAGGAAAAGTCCAGCGGGTGCAAGAGCCCGCTGTCTCACGTTGTAAAAACTTACAAGGTCTGCAAGGTTTAGAATTTTTTTCAAAAAATCACATTTTAAATATTAATTTTTTTATTATTTATGATCATGATCATTTTAACCTAGATCATGAATCCCTAAAATTTTAAATTTTAGATTAAAAATGGTCTAAGACGGGGCCGCATATGTATAGTTTGAGTCGGCTAACTCATATAAACTCCATCCATATCCATATAATAATCATCTGAATGCCTGGTAAGGGAGGTCTGAACCTGAACTCAATACATTTTTGGGCAAAATATCAAATTAATTTCAGTGACTTAAGAAACTGATTGCAGAGGCTTGTAAGGCTATAAACCAGAATGCACGATTGTAGCTCCATATTTTTTGAGGTTTTGATTTCATTTTATTTTTCTTTGGAGAAACGCTAGAATTATGGCCATGGAGTTAGGCTTTGGGGACGAGGATTTCATGGCTTCTTGTGGTAGCAAGAAAGAGCAAGCTACCGTAGCATCAAGAAATATATGTTTTAACAAGGTTTTAATTCTTTTTTCTTTTTTTTGGGGGGGCGGGCGGGGGGAGGCCGGAGGGTGGAAAAACTTTTTTTTTTGGGTAAATAAGGTTGATTTTTTCCTTTTTGGGTGTTTCATCTTTGTAAAAACTCTGGTTTTCCTGGTTTTTAGTATGATTTTCTGGGTTTTTTTATTCTTATTCTCGTATTCAAATCCTAGTCCTTGGGCGAAATCACATGATTTAGATTTTGATTTCGCTTAAAGTTTGTTTATTTTTTGTTAAAGTTTGTATGATTTTAGGTGTTAATCAGGGTCTGTTTCATTTTACTAACATTTGCTCTCGTTATTTGAAATACACAGGCCTTTTTCTTTTTTCTCATTACCTACACTTTACTTCACCTATGATTAAAAGGATGATGTTTCTATAAGACCTAGGCTTTATGCAAACAAAATAAAACCTCACCTCAAATCCTCATTCGGAAAGCTCTTTCGGCAACAGAAATATCTGTCATGGCTTTAAAATCAATTTCCATCACCTCAACTTATCTCTAAGGCTTAGTCAAATTCTATGGTTTTATTGATTTTTATGGTAGATTCTTGTAATTATTTCTTTCTTATGGAAAATAAATTGTAGAAATATAGCAAAAAAACTTACATTTTGCATAGTTTCCATATGGAATTCTGTTGGGTTTTCTTTGTTGGGTTTTCTCTCATCCTCTGCTGCTGTAACTTCCACTTGAGAGAGACAGGACCATAGATGAGGAGAGCTACGGGCCTGCAATGAAGTTGTGCCCAGATTCAAGTCTGCTTCGGGCAGATTCGGCCGAAGCTTCAACCTCTTCGGCCCATGAAGCTTCAACCTCTTCGGCCCATACAAAGGAATATTATATAAAAGTTTTTTTTTGAAAATTTTAATTTAAATTTTTCATTATTCTTATATACTTCTATTTATAAATATTAAATTTATTTATATTAAATTTTAAAAAATTCTAAATTCTTCTGAATCGACCGAAGCTTCGAATTACTTTATTTTCTCACCAAACCAAAAAAAGACCCGGAAGCAAACACATCTTTCTCTCTTATGCACCGCTACTCTCTCCCTTAGCGAGCCTCTCTCTCTATATCTCTCACGCACACATTTTTCTCTCTTATGCACCCGCTGCTCTCTTGCATACTTCTAGTCTTGTAAATTTGTGGCGTCATGTAAAGCTCTCTGGTTTTTTGGCTCTTGAAATTCCCTCTTTCTCTCTGTCTCTCAATTTACAGAGGTCTCTCTATGATTAGGTCCTTCAAGAGAAATATTTTTGTTTAATACCTGCTCTCTTTAACTATAATATTTACAAGATGAGGTTGGCCTGATTACATGCCTTTGGTTTCAAGAAAGGAGAGCCTCCTTGATTCATGAGCTTGCTCTGTCTCAACCAATAAAAGATCCCCCAAACATTCAAATATATGATATGAGTTTTTGATTTTTTTATCCTAACTAACCTACAAATGATTTGGGTTGTTGAGCTAAAAAGAAAGAAGAAGAAAATAAAAGAAAAAAAAATCTTAACTTTTCAAATCTCTCATTTCGGTTTTGGGGTTTTTGAGCTAAAAAAACCCTACACCTATAAATGAGTGATTAACCAGTGACTTATTTGTGGTTTCCAACTCTCTCTCTCTTTATACTCATAAAACCTTTGTGATAAAATGTACTGGAAATTCAATTACTTGTTTGAGGCCTTTAATTCCCTTTGTTTTTTTTTGTGCAATGATCTGATTTTTTTCTTTCTTTCTTTAAATACACTTTCATGTTAAAAAAAGGTGAAATACTAATTAATATTAAAAAAAAAAAGCCCTTTGTGATCTAGATTTGACCATGTACAAAAACGAGGATGAGAAACTCGCAATTTTAGCTGTGTAAACCTCAATGGGAAGAATTCATTGCTGTTTACTTTTCTATTCACAATCGAAATGGGTTGATTTTTCATTTTTTTCTGTTGTTTTTTAAAAAAAAATTCAATGAGATGGAATGATGGGATTTCACTTGTAGCGATTGTGCCTTTTTGATAGATATCTACCTCTATGGATTCATTCAACACCCCTAATTGAGTATAGTTAGAAAGAAGATAAGAAGCGTGCTGTTAGGATTTAGTTTCATTTCTCCTCCTTTTGTCTCTAGTATTAGCAAATGGTTATCTTATTAATGATACAAACATTAAGCTTCATAATTTGTTAGACACAAATGAATCTAAAAGTTCATTCTTTTATTTTCTCTTTTTTTTGTTCTTTTTTTTTTTTGTCATTTATGATGTACCAATCTGAAAGAAAATGCATAAATAGGGTGTTGTTTGCCATGTATGGGTCTCTATCTCAAACTTTTATTATTTTAATGTGTTTTGCAGCTCAGAATGACAGTTACTCACAATTCAATTAAAATGGAACCACTTTTTT